CATGAAGGTGTAAGAGACGATGTTCCGGTATCTAATCTGTGCCCAGGATTTGGGGCAGTGCATGAGCTCCTGGGGGAAAGCAGCAAGTCCAGTGGGCACAAATATCCCTGTCCTAGAACAAATGAGAAACGGCGCTGGTTACGTTTCAATCATAGCAAAGTTAAAATGAATAAATCAGTATGGAGAGTAAGAGCTTATTCAGCGACATTGATAACAGAATGGATTCCAAGTGAGGCTGAATAAGCTCTTACTCTCCATACTGATTTATTCATTTTAACTTTGCTATGATTGAAACTTAAACAGCACCGTTTCTCATTTGTTCTAGGACAGGGATATTTGTGCCCACTGGACTTGCTGCTTTCCCCCAGGAGCTCATGCACTGCCCCAAATCCTGGGCACAGATTAGATACCGGAACATCGTCTCTTACACCTTCATGCCCCAAGGCGGCCACTTCCCTGCATTTGAAGAGCCCCAGCTGCTGGCCAAGGACATCATCCAGTTTGCCAAAAAAGTAGAAAAGCTCTAAACTGCAGAAGGAATTCTGACTCCAAAAGTTATTGCATGTTTTTCTTTTATTATAAATGACATGATCACACTGCACCAGTTCAGATAAACCCCAATCCTTTCAGTTAATCTTTTTCCTAGTTATGATCATTAAATGTTAATGTTTCAGTGAATGTAAACATGTAGGCAGACACCTGGACATTCATATTTGTTTTCTAGAATGAAAAGAAAGCAGTTCATTAAACCATTCAAGTTATTGTCGGTATTATATTGTGCAAAGTTGTGCTCTTCTTAATATGTATGAAAGGCAATGCTTTATAAATAAAAATACGTCTTAAAAGCCAGAAAACATGTCCTTTGCTGGAGACTTTAGAAAGATTCCCTTACATTTCTGCATGAATAAAGAAACATTTATAAATCCACAGTTTTAAAGCCAACTTCAATAAAATATATACAACCTAACTCTAAATGAATGTTCAGTTTTTAATCAAAAACCCAATAAAATAGACTTTATTCAATTCTCAGATTACTCAACAGTTGGGATCAGTGGCTGAAACCCTTTATTGCAATTGGTGCTTGAAACCAGACATAATCCTGCCACTCTGACCCATCTGCTTTATACCCCTTACAGATGCTGGGATCTGTAGACAGGGTAATAATTCGGTTTTGAACCCGCGTTGGGACTTTAAACTGCAGTTTAGGTCTGAACCATCCTACACCGCATTCTCTGTGAGCCAGTGCCAGGACTGTTGTGGGCATTAGGCGAACCGGTTTGGTGTCGGATAGTAACCTGACAACAGCCAGATGCATGTCTCACTCCGCCTAGCTCCGAGACATGCATCTGGCTGTTGTCAGGTTAGTCGGATAGGAGGTCGGCAACGAAAAGAGTGCGGAAGAGCTGCCTCAAGCAGGAGGACACACTGAGAGACTGATTCCCAACAGCCAGAGCCTCCATGTTTATCTCGTACAGCTCTTTAGGAAGAATGAGGGAGCCCCCCATCAGCAGTAAAACACGGGGCACTTTGCTCAAAGAAAACAGCAACTCCAGCTGCTGCAGCACCTCCTCCAGGTCCTGAAGTGTCTGCTGACATTTACGCAGCTCCATAGCTGCAGACTGCGACGGCTTTCGAGTCACTACATCTCTTTCCTGAAAGGCAAAAAAAAAAAAAATGTAACGTTTCTTCGAAATCAATGATTTCAAATGAAAAAGCCTCCGAGTAAGCTTCCCTCCCACCTGGACTGAAGCTTGCTGCTTTTTCTGGGAATAAACCAGCTGGTCATACGTCATTGGCAGCTGCTGTCTCTGATAGAGGATGCACTTGAGGATCTCGCAGACAAAACGGTAGCAGCCGTCCTGAGTCACAGTGCCAGGGAAGACCACGCTCACACAGCCTTCTTCTCGAGCTTTTCTCACCACTTCAGCATCTTGTTCCTCAGAGTTGACGTGCCTTTTGCTAACAGCCACACAGGGATCTGGTCCTGAAATCCTTTCTTCTCCGTCTGTGCAGAACCGGTATAACAGGTTAATATTCATTCTAAACAGGTGTGGCTATTCCAACAGAATGAAATCAATGCACAGTAAAAAAAAAAAAAAAAGCCCCAGTTAGTTACATTTTGGTTAATATGTAATTCTCATATTTATATAAACAAAGTGAAAGTCTATGGCACATATTTCTAATTGCAACATTTTGATTACGGTAACTAAAAATAATCCCATAAAAAATAGGGTTAGATGGTTAGACTGAGAAACAGGTAGATAGGAGAGAGACGGCTTGATCAGTTGATGGATATGATTGGATTGCTGCTAATTAATGACAAGTCTAGAAATACAAATAATGTTCTCTTATCTCTAAACCTAAAGCAAGTTTATTCATACTTTAGCTAAGCTAAATATATGACAGCCCTTTGCTCTAGGATGCGAACTCAATATGACAATGATAATAAACTCAATAAAAGCCACATTAAACTTAGCAGAGAAGACTGGAAAACAAGCTAACTTACCTTGGATACCATTAGCAGCCTCAGGAGGGTTTTCCTTATCTAGCGAATTAATCCCGCTGTGCTCTTTCAGAGATAACCCTTTAAAATCAACAGCATTTTCTGATTTTAGACATATTTCCATTGTTTCTGTTCGACTTTCTTCGTCTGTTTCCGTTAGGGGAACGCACGAATTTGAGTCATCGAGATCAGTCTGTAAGCTAAGCATGGAACATGTCGCACTGGGCTCTTTTCCCGAGCTGATGTCCCTCTCCGAAGTAAAGGAGAGTCTCCTCTTTACTCCGCTGTCTGGGTTGTGGACAGCAGAAGAGTTTTCAGTCTCATCTGAGTTTGATACAGGCTGTAAAACACCAGACTGATCTGCCATTATTTTTGAACGTCCGCGCCTGCCTGGTTTTTCGCCGCTAGGAATCATGGGAAAACCTACCAGATGTTGGGTTCATGTTCAGTGACAACAGTCGGAAAATATCGTTTCAATTTCTACATTTTTAATTTAAAGTAATGTTTATGTGCATATATATATATATATATATATATATATAT